ATACTGTGGAGAACTGAGCATCCTGCACAGCACAGTAAAATGAAAAGTATGTGCTTCAAACCTTAGAAAGTTATTAGTCCTAAAATGACTCAGACATGTATTGAATGGGCAGATTAAATATCACCATATGAATAGTTCTTTCTAAATATAGTTATCATTCAAAACAGCATAATTCAAACAATTTATTTAGTCCTTCAAACCAAAAATGAACACTAAGTGAGTGATTGGGAAGGCTATGGCCAGCCCTCCACTTGCTTTTACAAATCAAGTTTTATTAGATTACAGCCATGCATACTATGTAGGGCTGCTTTTATAGCACAGAATAGTTACAACAAAGACCACATGGCCTACAAAGCCTAAAATATTATCTACCTACTCCTTTACAGAAAAAGTTTGCTCACCTCTGATTCAAGTGATCATGGTTTGACTTAAGGATATGGTGACATCAGTAAGGGTGGAGACTGTGAACTATTGAATAGGTTCCTCCAAACCAGAAGACAATTAAGAGGTGTACGTTTGACATCATTTCTTTGACAAATATTTTGATAAAAATTATAATTATGTAAACTACATATTCAAATAATTTAACAAGAGTATTTCTCCCTGATTCACTTATTTTATTATTTGATCAAGAAAACAGACTTCTTCTTAGTACTTGTCCCCAAAGAGGTCACACCTGAAACGATGAAGAAGAACAGTACAACCATCTCTCATCTGCTGGTACTTGCAGCAAGATGGAAGCTGCTGTCTGTCTTCTAAATGCTCCCCATCCCAGCTGCTAAAGACTTACTGTCCCCATGTAAGAGAAGCTGGGAGCAATGGATTCCTAATCTTTCTTCTCCTAGATTCCATGATTTTTCTTTTTCTGTTCAGGGAAGGGTTGGTGCCACTGATTTTTTTCTAAAGAATCATAATTGGCTCAGTCATAATTGCTATTGAGTTCGTATGCTGTTGGCATATCAGGCACTTGCTGACCAGAAAAGTTTTATGTAACAAGTTCTTGTGGAGCCAGATGGAAGGCAGAAGACCTTCATGTTGAGTTCTCACTATCTTACACACTCAGAATCTCAAAATCTTCCTCCAGGTCAAAGTCCTCCAGGTGCTCAGTGGAGTCTATGAATTCTGTTGGAATACAGAAATGAGAAAGTAAAAATGCTTGACACTATGGCTGATGTTCTCAATCAAGATGAATCAATTTGCTAAAGCAAGGTTTGCCTGGAGGAAATATACAATTAGGGCTACTACAAAGTATTAGCAACTTTCTGTAAGCCTCGAAACAACCAGGCCTGTTTATATAGGCCTGCTCACAGTGATCTGGTTAACGCTCACTATGGCACCCTCTTTTGTCTGTCTGCTGGTTAATTAATTTGTTGAAACAAGGTCTTGGAATGTAGCTCAAGCTAGATGGGAACTTAGGATCCTCCAGCCTCATCCATCCGAGTGACTGCAGGCATACAAGTACCAACCCAAACCTCAAGATACTTTTTGAGTTCCCATGCCTCTGATTTGTTATTCTAAAACAAATTCTAGTCATCTTGAGTTTGCAATGACATGAGTTAATGTTCTTTTTGTCAGCATTCTTTAAAACCAACAAACATTGGCTTCTCCAAGGATTAACATAAACAGAAGCACTATTCTTTGATCAAGCTAGATGTGTAGAAATTTCACTTTTCATAAGTGATATGAGCCACAGTTGCTTTTGTCTCAGCAAACAGTTGCAACATACAGGTCTGCTGGCCAAGAGCTAACAGAAACAGCTTACCTGCGCCTGTGGTTGTCACTTCCGGCTTGGCTGGAGGTACAAAAGGAGGCCAATGCGATGGGTGTTTCTGAACTAATTCAAACATCCTCAAATTCTCCTTCAGAATTTCCTGGTTAGAAAAGAAATAGCTTTAAATACCACAGAGTCACTACACTTGTGTTTACTTGGTAGTTCAAGAACCTAAACCCTGACAGCAACCATGGTAGTGGACAGGTAGGCCAAAAAAACCTACCAAATACATTCATTCTCTGTTTAAATCATCTGACGACCTCGCCTGATTTGAATTCTGAATCTGGTTGACAAAGCAAAAGGAACACTGGTTCAGACAGCTAATGGAGCTGAGTATGGACTGATCCCATCACAGGGCTCAGGGAGCGCACCACATACACAGATTCGGCCAAATGTAGGGGTGAGGTATTTTAAAAAGTCATTTAATCAAACTGAATATGTCCCAAGAGAATTCTGGTACATATTTTCATGCCTTCAGTTCTAGCACAAAATTTTCTTGGCTTAAATGACACAGTCATCATTAAATTGTCACTCTGGCCTTAAACATCAATACAGCATTGCTACATTCTGAAATGGAAACACTTCATTTAAGAAAATAACTTTTGGGACTGAAGACATTGCTCCACGGTTAGGAGCAATTTCTGCTCTTCCAGAAGAACTGAATTTAGTCCCCAGCACCCATAATGGGCACCTCACAACCTGGATCTAAGACTCCAGAGGATCCAATGCCATCTTCTGGCCCCCACTGGCACCTGTATACACAGGGCATATACACAGACACGTAAGTAAAGGTAATAAACATGAATCTTTAAACAATAATTCTCTTGGTTGGATGTGGGGGGTTGTATTCCTCAGTGGTAGGTAGCCACTGGTAAGTTGCCCTTATTCAAGTAATTCAGGCAACCCCAATTAAATATAATGGGCTACAAACAACAAACAAAAAGAAGACATGAAGAGCCAGGCATTGGCTCTTTATCATTAGCACGCCTTTAATCCCAGCACTCGAGAGGCAGAGGCAGGCGGATATCTGTGAGTTCAAGGCCAGCCTGGTCTCCAGAGCAAGTGCCAGGATAGGCTCCAAAGCTACACAGAGGAACCCTGTCTCAAAAAACAACAACAAAAACAGACATGAAGATAGGAGGGAGATTTGTTTAGGAGAAAGAGTTTGGTGGGAGGAGGATAAGAAATGGCAGAGAATATTATCAAAGTACTCTCTCTCTCTCTCTCTCTCTCTCTGTGTGTGTGTGTGTGTGTGTGTGTGTGTGTGTAATGAAACTGGAAGAAGAAAAAAGAAAGGAAATATATATGTAACACATTACATGCCTTATTTGTGAACAATATTTCCATAGCCACATCAGCAAGACTACTTATTGCTTTTTCCATTAGAAAAGAATAATAATTCTCTTGGGCTGGGGATATAGATCAGTGACAGAGAACTTTCCAAGAATGTGCAAGGTCATGGGTTCAGTCCTCAGAACTGTGGCAACAGCGATAACAATAACAATATTTCTCTTGAACTTTGCATAGTGGCTCATATCTATAATTTTAGTATACCAGAGGCTGAGGAAGAAGTATCACAAGCTAAGACCACCCTGGGCTTCATACTGAGTTTCAGGCTAGCCTGGACCACATAGCAATAACTTCTCTCAAATAAATAAATACTTGTAAAATCTACATTTTTGTTCCACTAAGCTATTATCTGAGGTTACAGATTCATTCAGGGACATCAGTGTTAATCATTTGTTCACTGTAAAGAAAAAATATTTCCTCCATTTGCAGACAACACTCTGGGTTCCTGTAATCCTTTGGCTTTGGAAGATAGAACTTCATGACACTGGTACTCCACCAGACACTTTAAAAAGTGCTTACTATGATCTCCCTTAATTCATTCAGTGAACACATACCAACATATGGCATCATTTTGTATGTGTTAGATACTGACAATGAGGGAAATGGATAGAGATTGGAGAACCAATACAATAATTCTCTTTTACACAATGTACCAAATGTACCTTTTGGTACACTGATCCCTTTCAGTGGTCACATGCCTGTATTTTAGATAAATAACCCAGTTAACAGAAGGGAAAATCCTCTAAACTGTGATGAGATATAAATGGACCACTGAACACCTAGAAAACATTAGTCTCCTTAACCACCTCAATGCTACAAACACATAGGGAAGAAACTTAGGCTGAGCTATGTGAATCTGGCAGTTTGAGGTTAAAACAGCCTAATATTAGTGAGTGCTTCAAGTGCCTCATGGCCTTAGCGAGGTGCAGTGTTCGCATTTGTCACTGAGTCTATCACTTAGCTGGCATACTTACAGGCTTAAGTATTTCTTCACTTATCCAGAGTTCGCCACATCTGACAGGTTCTTTGTCACCTTAGTTTCCTCCCCTTGCAACCAAATTATATCAAACTGTTTTTGTATTATTTTAAGAATTAATCTTAAAAAGGAGTCAGATTTAGTAGTTTTCATGTTCATCCTTTTTTTAAAAAAAATCCATCCATCCTTACCTTCTGAACAAGGCTACACCAATTATCAAAGTCTTTCTCTTCTTTGCAGAAAAATCCCTTGGGTGGGGAAGAAGAACACTATTTAGAATTTCCCTTTACAAGATGGAGCTATTGTCCCAGAGTTAGGGAGTGGGCCACTCTCTTATCACACATCTTCCTGGAGGTACAGGAAGACTGACTGGCTGGGCTCTCTGTTCCCCAAATCACTGGATTACATATGCACATACATAGCCATCCTCTCTCTCTTCTTCCCTCCTTTCCTCTCTCCTGTCTCCACCCTCCCTCCATTCCTTACTCATTCTCCCCTTCCTCCTTCCCTCTTCCTCCTGATCTGTTTCTTTCTGGTCTTCTCCCTCTCCCCTCAACATTATTAGATATTTTAACCTGGAGATCAGTCTCCAAAGCATGGGGTTAATTTCACCACATTTAGTGCACACACACGCACACACACGTGCACACGTGTGCGCGCGCACACACACACACACAATTCCATTGCAGCAGAGGACAAAAGTCAAATAGTACTTTTAGTTAGACTCATTACTTTAAAAGGTGGCTGACTCTTCAAAAAGTTATCTATTAGAGTTGTGAGAAGCTGCAGTATCCTTCTACCCTGATAGTCATCTCTCAGTAGGACAAGAGTGGTCCAAAACAAGAGGGGAATACTCAGTCCTTGGTCACTGGTGTCTGATGGATGAAACAGGAAATGAGGATGCAGAAGGGCCTAAGAAATGCTGGCTACCTCACAGGCAGGGGGCCTTTCAATATAAGTTGATAACAACCACAACAAACCCGAGACTTCCTGAATTTGGGCATCAAGAAATAGATACTACCTCTCGGATTCTTACTTCCTTCTCCCTTTCAAGTCATTTCCCACCTTATATTTATATATCACACATTTGAGGGCGAGAAGGATAGGAAGGGAAATGTTAATGCTACTACTAACATTCATACCCTGTTTGCATGTTTGCAGCGTGCCTGGTCTTGTGCTAAGTGAAGTGTGTGTGTGTGTGTGTGTGTGTGTGTGTACATATATGTACATGTATATTTATATATATGTGTGTGTGTGTGTGTATGACACATCACATAACCAAATGATGGGGGAAGTATTGTTTCCATTGTTTCCAGATATGTGAAGACTGAGACTCAGAAAGGTTGTGACTTTTCCTAAGAGCTTGGGTCTGTACTTGAGCAGTTTGGAGCCAGGGTCAGTTCTTTAACTGCCATATCACAGTGCCTCATTTAGGGCTACAAAGCAAGTGCACTGTTGCTATGCTACCTAACAACTTGCCAAGGAATCCATTTTTAATAGGTTGCTGTCAGAGCTCCTTTAAATACCCACCAAGGCCACAGAAGGATCCAAGTTCAGGATACTCATTCGCTGTGGAGACTGCAGACAGTGGAAAGTCTCATCGTCTACTATTCCACTCTCCTCAGTGTCAACAAAGGTCTGGGTTGTGTGAGGGTCCAAGAAAATCAGCTCATCACCTGTTTTATGAAGATATGTTTAATCTCTGAAGAACCACTGGCCCTGGTCCCACTGCAATCGTAAGAATACACTTCCCCCACCACATCCAGAGTTCTCCTAACCCCTTCCCTTGCGACAATGAGAATGGGATGATAGGAAGCCCAAAGCCAGGGTTAAGCATGCTTGAGAGAAGGCACATGTACCAAAATCTAATCAAAGAGAAGACTTGACCTAGCACATCTCCCCTGAGTCCAAGTCTCAAAATGAAAAGGGATAGGTTTGGGGAAGGTGGGAATGAGAGAACACAGGATGACATGGCAGGCTCTGTGAGCAGCAGTTGCAAAGAGGTGATAGGAGAATCCCTAAAGCTGTGAGCTCCAATGCCACTAGGGGGCGATCTGCATCTTTCAGCATTGGAAGGCATCTCGAGATCAACACCACTGGTTCTCAGACCCATACTCAGAGAGCACCTCTCAAAATGGAAAAGACCTTGGCCTCCAGAGGATATTCTACCCACACACAGCAGGAAGCTAAGCTCGGTGGATCAGAACCCAGCATACTGATGCCTGTTCATGATTAGAAACTAGCTAGTGGGTTAGTCATATTGCAAGCAAGTCTATCAGTTTCCATTAGAAAAGACAGCCTCTGTCATGTAAACATTGGCATGGATGAACCTCACTGGAAAAACCTACTTGGAATGATCTCTCTCTCTCTCTCTCTCTCTCTCTCTCTCTCTCTCTCTCGCGCTCTCTGTGTGTGTGTGTGTGTGCGCGCGCACACACACACACACACACACACACACACACTCACAACTACATGCTGGAGATCAAACTCAAGACCTTGTTTATACTATGCAAGCATTCTACCACTGAGCCAAAAACCCAAGTCCAAGATGACTGAGTTTCACACATAAGAAAAAAGCCATGCTTCACTAAACTGTAAAAGTTCAACCTCAACATGACCCTGGAGGAGACAGATAATAAAATCTCTACTGTGAACCAATGTTTAGATGGTACAAGTTCTTATGCAAGTAAGTAGACATAAATGCCTCAGGAAACATCTGATCTCAATGTCCAAGTCTAAGGTCATCTGAGTCTCTGTCCTCAACTCAGGTGACAAAAGATTATTTACTGGCAGCTATAAAATGTCCCCAAAGTCTTTGGAATTCCATACAGGAGAGCACATCTATGTGATTCTGCTGGGAAAGAATATGTTACTGATGGCTGATAAAAAAAATTTCACTATTCTGTCTCATAGACAAAGACAAACTGCTTAACTCATTCACCTTTCAAACACTCTCATTTTCAACTGGTGTCATGGGACCTGTTCCAGTACCTTACATGGTATATAAGAACCAGGAACCAGAAATATTCACCTCTGTGAAATGTATGCAATGCATTACCTAATATAAAGCTATTTTAATGATCTCACTTTGGGTCAGACATATTTATTCACAAATATACAGCTATGAAGTATGGAAATCAGCATCTCCATATGATTTGCCATATAAAAGTCAAGGCACAAATTCCTCACTAGACTAAGGTGAGTGATATCAGTAGCAAATAGCCTCAGATCACACTGAAGAGCAACAACCAAGATGTTCAGCACGAAGCCTCTCTAAGACCTTACAACAAGGTAGTTGGAAAGGGAAGTTGGGGACATAAAGATAGAACTCCCAAGAGGGATAGGACCCAACTGGCCACCAGCGTGCTTTAAGTTAAAGTGTTGGGAATGATACTAGCTTGTCAGAGTACAGCCACAACCTTTTCCCATGAGTGGAGAGGACAGCTTTACAGGGGGTGCTTCTTTTCTGAGATTATCTGTAAGAGGTACAGCAGAAAACATCCGACATCCAAACATTGACATTGAGAGTAACTACAGGTGTCTACTGAAGCCTGTGGAGAACAGGCAGGCTGGTCAAGCATCTGCACAGATGGGGCTAATGCCATAGATCTCCACGTGGCAACCTGTACCCGAGAGCAAAGAACAAACAGTTCCTTCTCTCTAAGCAAGCAAAATCTGACAGGCAGAATATTAACATGGCCAGAGCCTCCCACATCTAGATCTTCTCCAGCTGCCCACTTGATGGGGGGGGGGGCTAGGAAAAATGGGAGGGGGAGAGGGCAAACAAAGATGACCAAATTGGGATCAAATCCTGACTTCACTGCTTGTTAGCTGAGTGACCCTGAGAAAATAATCTCTCTTGATCTTCATTTCACTATGTGTAAAGTGAAAGTAACAGTCTGTCTCTCACACAGGAATGCCAAAGGTGATGAGAGAAGTACGGACATGTTCAGTGTGTTCAGTACAGACTCTTCCCCCAAAATACTTCCGATCCATGTTTAGTCAGCTCTATCCACGGGAAACCCACAGAAGCTAAGTGATAGTGATGGCTGAATATATTTTTGTATCACTTTGTTTGACAAGAACTCCAAAGTTTACACAAAGAAGGCATCTGGATGTTCATAGCTCCAAATGCTGGGTTTTTTGTTTGTTTGTTTGGTTGGTTGGTTGGTTGGTTTTGTTTTTGTTTTGGGGGTTTTTGTTTATTTTGGTTTTTTCAAGACAGGGTTTCTCTGTGTAGCTTTGGAGCCTATCCTGGAACTCGCTCTGGAGATCAGGCTGGCCTCAAACTCACAGAGATCCGCCTGCCTCTTCCTCCCTAGTGCTGGGATTAAAGGTGTGCACCACCAACATCCGACCAAATAATGAGTTTTGTACTTAGAAAAAGAAAAGGTACTATGAGCTACAGATTTTCCATTAAGTTGTAATATGAAGGCTGCATCAATAGATGGCAGCAGTACAGAAACAGGGAGTTGTGTGGCAACCCTCACAAGACAGGAACAAAGAACTAAGGAAGGACAGAGGTGTTGGGTGGGGCCATTTCGCTGAACACTTACTCTACATCTAACTCTTTGCCAAATAGTTTACCACGAGATGACCTAACAGAGAGTCAAGTGCTGTCTTATTTTAAAGGAGAGAAACATGAGCCTGCGTTAGTTTTCTCCAGTGGACAAGCCACACTACCTAGCAAGGGACTTGTGTGCAAAGTCAGTTATGAGTGTTACCATCCCACCTCCAAGGTCACCAGACAATGGTTTTTTGGGGGTGTCAGTGCCCTCTCTACCCTGTTCTCTGCATAGTCTCTTATGGCGCTTGCTTATAGCTATCCTAGGTCTTCTTGCCTGGCAAGCAGTTAAAGCTCCTGACTTTGTTGAATCCTAGTGTCTGACTGCTCTATTTCCAGAAAAGAAAGTCCTGTGCCAAATCTCTGTGGCTATACCCCTTCTTTCCTCATAGTCTCCAGCATTCACAGGGTGTCTGGGGCCCTGCTTCTTAAAGCATGGTCTGTGGACCAGCAACAGCACTGAAAACCCTTAAAAATCAAATCTCAGGCCCCATCTTAGACTTACTGAGTCTGTATCTTAACAGGTTCCCGAAGGGATGTGTGAACAACTTAAGTATAGATGGACCATCTAGCATTCTATGTGTTAAGGGCTTTAAATGTCTCTGGTCACAGCTAGTGAGTAAGGTGGCAAGATTTCCACCATATGCAGAAAATTATGGATTTATCATTAGGGCCCATATGAGGAGGTTAGTAGGTTTTGTTTTGTTTTCTTTTCTTTTTGAGACAGGTCGCACTATATAGCCCTTGCTAGTCTGAAGCTCACTATGTAGTCCAGGCTGACCTCAAACTCATAGAGATCCACTTGCCTCCGCCTCCCTAGTATTGGGATTAAATACTATAGAGATATAGCAAAAGACACCCGACTTCAAAAGTTGACATTGAGAGTAACTACAGGTGTTTACTGAGGCCCGTGGAGAACAGGCAGGCTGGTCAACCATCTGCACAGATGGGGATAATGCCATAGATCTCCACGTGACAACCTGTACCCGAGAACAAAGAACAAACAGTTCCTTCTCTCTCAGCAAGCAAAATCTGACAGGCAGAATATACCTGTAGAACATAGACACCCAACTATAGAGGTTTGTATTTTTAAGGCCTAGTCACACAATTGGGGAAGGCACAACTCTGTCTTTGCATCTTCTAATTCCTACCCATTCATGACTCTGAATACTGAGACAGAAAGTCTATTCATGGTGACCTGGGAAACCAGTGGCTGCTTCAAGGCTATTTGCCAGAACTTCAAGTGGAAGGAGATCAGCAAAGGCAAAGTACTGAAACCCAACTGTCCTGGGACCCACATGCAAGAGGGGACCATTCTGGAGCAATGTTGTGACCTTGTATCTAACATGAAGAAAAGAGCAAAACTATGCCATCAAGACACAAAGAAATAGAAGCATTAATGGGGACCTAGTGTCCATCAAGCACAAAGAAGCAAGAATTACTCTGCATAGGTCAGGTTGGAGACAGAAGGAGCTGACCAGAGGCCACAATATCCCTAGGCTAAAGCAATGCCCACTCACCGGAACTTCCTATATCCCATGAACACCTTTGTCCCGCACCCTTCCCTCCTAGCCCATGACAACTTACTTGGAATTCATCCTTTCTTACCTAAGAATCCTATGAAATAATAGGCGTTATTTGGCTTTCCTCCTAAAGCCCCTAAAGACTGTGGCATCTTAAAACACTCCTAAAGGGAAAGAGAATGCAAGATTCTCAACTCACTTGTGGACTGCTGCTCACGGATCTCTGTGCTGACATGGCAGTGTGATGGGCAGGCAGCAATGGGTTCAAGAAAAAAAGAGACTTACTTTGAATGCTTCAATATACACAGGATTGATTTGGTTTATGCCCAGGCGAAGGGGCACAATGAGCAGCAGGGGTTTCCAGGCTGGGCATGTGGCAGAGGGACCTTTACCCTGACTGGAAGCAGGCAGAGAATCTGGAGGGCTCTCATCAGCTGTGTGAGCACCCACAGGAAGAACACAGCACATTTTCTCTAGAAACAGAAGGCAAGAGATCTGGATGAGTCAGGAGTATCTAGCACTAAGACCCTTTCCAAAGGTAAAACAGAGGGACCTTGCATGCTGCCCTTCACACCTGCAAGGCCCTCTCCTTTGCCACCATGGACCAGCCAGACCCATTTCCCACAGGAACACCAGGCTGTTTCTTCAGCTTCTTGCTCTTCATACTGGCCATTGAGCACTTGCTTAGTGCCCAATAGATATTCTAGACTCTTTCTAAGAATCTCATTTCTCAATTAGATTTTGAGGACCTTGGAATTAGGGACTGTATCTTCGTGTTTTCCTAACCTTCATGGCAGAAAAAGCAGGTCTGGGCAATGATAGGCCTCTATGATTCATCTAATTGTGATTCAACAGATTGTACACACTTTCACTCAAAAGGTGTAGCACATTTTTGAGAAAAGGTTTTCCCCTTCAGAAGACTGAAAAGAAAGGGAATAGAGCCATTCTGCTCTCCAAGGCTCCCCTATTCTTGTGGAGCAGGCCACAGCATCCTTTGAACTCCAGATTTCTGAATAAGAGAAGGGACTACACCCACCAATGAGAAGGCTAACAGCCTTTGCACTCACTGATATCTTCAATGACCACCGTGTTATCCATTGAAACATAAACAGCCAAGGAATTCCATTCATCAAATAAAGCGAGTTTTCTGTGAAGCAACATATAATGAAATCACAACTGGAGAAGATGAAAATATCAGAAGTGGTACAATATATTCCCAGAATTCCTAATGTTGCTGTACACTGAGCCACAGAAAAGCCTGCATTAGGGTTAGCTCTGGTTTGACAGCATTCTGGGAAATTTCATGTCCAGGGATTTGGAGACTATAACAGAAGCACTGTATGTGAACTTCTAAAAGAAGGTCCTGCTGTATAAAATGGAAAAATCTACCTCTATCAAATGACAGTACTCCTACTGGAGGAAAGGGAAATGGCATCTATTTATCTTTTTATCTTTCCTAAAAATTCCAACATATTTTGTTTCCTGAAATAAAACTTTCTGAATTATTGATTTTCCTTTTTAAAAATGAAAAATAGTAATGTCATTAAAATATATAGTGGTGGCTGGTGTGGTTCAGTGACAGAGTACTTGACTAGCATGTTCGAGGCCCTGAATCAAGCCATCCAATCTCTAGCACCTAAGCTAACATGTGTGTGTGTGTGTGTGTGTGTGTGTGTGTGTGTGTGTGTGTGAAAAAGAGGGAGAGAGAGAGAGAGAGAGAGAGAGAGAGAAATCTAGCATTCTCTCTCATATGGGAGAATTGATCATGGAAACCAAGAAGGAAAAATGGGATAAAAGAGAACGGGAGATAGAAGAGATATGGGGTTCTCTTCCCCACATGCACTGAGAATGCCATTCAAGGAGACTTCAGTTACAGACGACTTGAGAGGAAGCCCTACTAGTCAACAACAGAAGAGAGATGACACATCTAGTTACATGATTTCATGGGAACTTATAAAGTATGAGTTTTCTGGCCCAGCAGATCCTGCTGCCCTTGTCAGCCCCAAAGAAGCACACAGATGCTATATTAATTATGAAACTGTTGGCCAGTGACTAGGGTTTCTTATTGGCTTATGGCTTATTAACTCATTTCTAATAATCTGAGTATTCCCACATGGTCTTCTTTTACCGGAGAAAGGGTCTGGACCTGTTACTCCTTTTGTGTCCTACATAGTGACTGATTGTGCCTACATTTCCCAGAATCCTCCACCTCTCTTAGTCCCACCTATCTTGCTTCCCTATTGGCCAACAGTGCTTTATTCATTAACCAATAAGAGAAACATATTTACAGAAAGCCATCTCCCATCAGAAAGTTTTTAGCTGGGCATTGGTGGCACATGCCTTTAATCCCAGAACTGGGGAGGCAAAGGCAGGTAGATCTCTGTGAGTTCAAGGTTAGCCTGGTCTACAAAGCTGCACAGAGAAACCCTGTCTCGAAAAAACAAAAAAACAAAGAAGAAGAAGATGAAGAAGAAAGTTCTTTTAAAGGAGATATTATATCAGGTTTATGTAAAGTACCTGCCTATTTCTCCCTTTGCTTGCTTAAGAGGACACATTTATTCTTTCTACTTCTGCAAAGTGTAGGTAAAGTTCCAGTCTCAGTGGATAAAAGAAAAGTATCCTTTCTCCAAAGCAGCTCCCAAGAAGGGGTCAATCATCACTGCACAATTTTAAAGTGTGTGTGTGTGTGTGTGTGTGTGTGTGTGTATGTGTGTGTGTATACACATGTGTAGAGACCAGAGGATGGTGTCAGGATGTCTTTCCTCAGTTGCCTCTCCACCTTATTTTTTTAGTCAGGGACTCTCACTTAACCTGAAGCTCACGATTTCTGCTAGCCCATGAGTCCTTGAGATCCTTCTATCTCTGTCCCTTGGTGCTGGGGTTATAGGCACATGCTCCTTGCTCTTTTTTATTACATGGTTTCTGGTGATCCAAACTTAAGTTCTCATGCTTGTACAGTAGGAGCCTTATCTACTGAGCCATCTGCTGAACCCTCATTACACTTTTAATTTACTAATTTTAATTCATTACCTTTCTCAGAACAACAATGATTTGATTATATGGCCACTGATTTCACTTATAATTATCATTACTATTTTTTTAACTTTAGGATGGTGTAGAAGTGGCATGTATTCAGTGGAAACCAGACATTGAACTTTGAGTTGGAATCATTCCCAGGGCTAGTCTCACATAGTGTAAGACTTTCCAGTGATGCTCAGCAGTGGCAGGGAGCTGACACTCCAATAAGCCAGCTCATCATCAAGGGAAACAGCTCATTTGCTAAGCTGCAATCTTCAATAGCTAAGATACAGCAAATACATTTTGATTTCTAATATTTTCCAATTAGGATATCTGTGTTTTATTGTGTTAAGGGGCGTATATGCTATTGTTAACAGAGGTAATCACAAATCTGAACACACTTAAATTCTTATGAGATAAAATGGAGATGAAAGGCAGTGGGCAAAAGGACACATGGGACATAAAAGAGGAAAAAGAGTCTTGGGGGTCAGGATATCAGGGGAAGACAAGAATAGCCACAGGTGGAGAGATAGAGGAAAAGCATAAAAATGTTTGATTGCAAATGTCATAATGATATCTAACACAATATGCTTATTTTAAAAATAAATAAAAAAGAATGATCTTCCATTTGTTTATTGTTAAAAACCTCAAAATACAAAACATGGAAGAAAGAAAGAAATCCTATTTGAAACCAGATTTGGGGCTCAGCTTAGTGAGTCTAATATTTTATACATTCTTTTCTGGATTTGTCCCCTCTGCACATCTAGAATATTGCCAGTTCCTCACTCAGCAGAGAAAATGATTCCCAGAAGGTACAAAGCAAGAAAGTGGCCTCAGTGAAGTTGCACTGGTAGTAGGGAATAAAGCCAACATACAAGTGTTCCTGGGTCCCCAGGAAATCCAGACTACTCACCTCATATGCTCAGCGCCAAGCATGCTATTCACTGACGACTGGTTAACTGTTGAAACAAAAACCCCCCCCTCCCCTCAACCGGGCACTTATATGTAGTGGGCAGGTTTATGGGCTACTGCTACAGAATGAACAAGACAAATACAGTCTGCCTACAGGGAGTTTTCATCCACTGGCAGATTTTCAGGAAGGAGAGAGCTACAAGAGAGAAGATGGCCTGTAGGTACTGATGGCACTCAGTACATGATCCTTCTACCTTATTTATCTTCTGTGGTAGAAGACAAATTGTGGAATATAAGATGGCAATCATGAAAGTATCACCTTAAATCTAACAGATGACAAAGTAATTCCAAGACTCCATCGGGATTTGTATCCTCCAGTAGGAAGTGAGTTCCTTGAGGCGAGGACACATGGGACATAAAAGAGGAAAAAGAGTCTTGGGGGTCAGGATATCAGGGGAAGACAAGAATAGCCACAGGTGGAGAGATAGAGGAAAAGCATAAAAATGTTTGTATATCTTTGTATACCCAGTACTTAACACAGTAAATGCACCCAGTAAATGCTAAATGAATTAGTGAGGGTTAAAAACCCCATTTTATTTATGAAGAGGTACATGCTAGGGTGCATGTGTGGAGGTCAGAGGACAACTTGTATGGTTTGATTCTCTCCTTCCATTATGTTGTTTCCATGTGAACTTAAGTCATCTGGATTGGCAGCAAGCACCTTTACCCACTGAGCCATCTCCCTGGCCCATTAATGAAGTCTTTATTACATACAGGATGGAAGTCTATTTCTTGCCTAAGGAAGTTAAGCCTCTGCCACTTAGTATGAACCTTTTAACTTCAAAAGACCCTCAGTTCGATGATTCCCTGGCACATGAACATCCATCTGTAGGGTGAGAAACAGAATGAGTCCTGGAGTATAGCCACATGTATTGATACCCGTGACTACAGTTCTGATATACCAAGACAGAGGTCTACACTTATCCACATCAAGAAGTATCTGAACAAAATGGTAGAGATGTCTGATGGCTTAGCAGGAAGGGTGGGATTGCTAGCATACTTAAACTAATGGGATGTTTAGTTGGCTGGGGATGGAAGCATAAGAGCAAGTAGAATAAGCAGATACCAGACTTTTACTTACTTTAACACCTGTGCAACTGTATTTGGTCCAAACCATTCGCCAATTGATTTCCCTTCTCCTACACCCATTTGTGCTGTTTCATGTGGAAAAATTAATATGTTAGCAAAATAAATTCCATGAGCCACAGACTCCTGATTTAGGGGGGGGGCATGAAAAAAGCAGACAGACTACTTAGTGAAGCCACATATCAGGCAGAGGAAGGGAAAAGTTTAGGTATTAATTTGAAACTACAAATTTGATGATCTTACCCATTTGATGGATTGAATAGCAACAGTCTTTTCTATCTAGGAAACACTGCAGTATCCTTTGGTATTCTTTGGGTTGTTCTTTTTGTTTCTCCCAGTTCCAATCTTTTGTGGAGGAGGGGGAATTAAAAAAAAGGTTTAAATCAGCTTTTACTGCTTATTACCAGGCAATAAATTAAAAGGAAAACAAGAGAGCTATATTTAGAAGGTAAGAATGGTGAAGTTGGTGTGTTTCTAAATATTTTTCATTTATATAGCAGATGCTGCAAAACTGACAACTTCTAAGGATTCGGTTGGTATAAAGAAAACTCCAGGGCTGGGGAATGTAGCTGCATGGTAGATTACTTGTCTAGCATGCGTGGGAAAGTTAAAAGCTGAGGATGAACTTGAACAGAGAATTAGCATGCCCCAAGCTGGAGCTGGCTAACAATTACATAACAAGTGTCACAAAGATATTTCCTGGCAGCTACACTGCAAGGATATAACCCAGACACCATAGTGCCTCATCTCCATACAAACAGCAATGGCTTTTGTCCTTGCATTCTGGTGAAGGGTCTCATGAGGGGAAGTACTATTCTCACATACAAAAGTTTATATGGAAATAGTATACATAATTCACTGCCGAGGAACTGCTTTTGAAAATTGTACCAGGCGCTGGTGGCACATGCCTTTAGTCCCAGCACTGGGGAGGCAGAGGTGAGTAGATCTCTGTGAGTTCAAGGCCTGGTCTACAGAGAGAGTTCCAGGTCACCCAGGGCTGTTACACAGAGAAACCCTGTCTCAAACAACAAAAAAAGAAGAAAGAAAGAAAGAAAGAAAGAAAGAAAGAGAGAGAGAGAGAGAGAGAGAGAGAGAGAGAGAGAGAGAGAGAGAGAGAGAGAGAGAGAGAGAGAGAGAGAGAGAGAGAGAGAGAGAGAGAGAGAGAGAGAGAGAGAGAGAGAGAGAGAGAGAGAGAGAGAGAGAGAGAGAGAGAGAGAGAGAGAGAGAAAGGAAGGAAGGAAGGAAGGAAGGAAGAAAGAAAGAAAGAAAGAAAGAAAGAAAGAAAGAAAGAAAATGAAAGTTGTATACTGAGAAGGGAAAGAAAAAATACTGTAATATTGGTATTCAGGAGACTGAGGCAGGAAAATCTCAATATCATGGCCAGCCTAGACTATATTGTGAGTTCAAGATTAGACTAAGCTATATACAGTGAGACCTTTCTTTCAACAAAACAAACAATGACAAAACCAACCAAGCATCCAAACAAGCAAAAAACAGGTGGGAGATGATCCAATTGGTAAAGTGCTTGCCAGCATGAGGACCATAGTTAAAAACCCAGCACCCATGAAAAAAGCTCAATGCAGTAGTAGTGTGCACCTACAATCCAGTGCTGGGAGACAGAGGCTTGATGGCCAGCCAGTCTAGCCAAATCAGGAAGCTCTGTGTTCAATGAGAGACCCTGTCTCAAAAAATAATGTGGAAAGAGGTTTAAGGAAGACATATTAACCTCTGTCCTCCCTCCATACATGTATATATGTGCGTGCATGGGCACACACACACACACACACACACACACACACACACACACATGTGTACATGTAAATATCCAGGCATGGTGACATACGACTATGAAATAAATAATCTGGGATGGGGATAGAGGCAGGAAGATCATGAATGAATTTGATGCCAATTGGGTTACAGGATCAGTTCTAGGCATTTGTGTGCTGCATAATAATAACATGTCTCAAAAAATACACTCTAACATTTTTTTACACCAACTTTTTTCCAGTACTGGGTATGGAAGCCTGGGCTTGTATATGACAAGCACTCTTCCACTAAACTATGACTATGGCCCCATTTTTTTTCTTTTTTGTTCAGATTTTTTTTTATTTGAATTAGAAACAAGACTGTTTTACCTGTCAATCCCAGTTCCTTCTCCCTCCCGTCCTCCCCTACCACCCACCACAACTAAAACCCTACTTATCACATATCCTTTCTGCTCCCCCCTGGAGGGTGAGGCTCTGGTGCCATTTTTATAACACTATTTTTTCTTTGCTTTGGACGCAGGTTTCATCATATAGCCCTGGATGGTCTGGAATTTACTGTGTAGATCAGGCTGGCCTCAAATTTGTAGTGATCTTCCTGCCTCGGCCTCCTAAGTGCTAGGATTATAGGTATAAGCCACTACCCCTAACTTTCCCACCATCTTAAGAAAAATTCAGAACCAGCTTTGGAAAAACAAAACTATCTGCTATCAGGTGTTTATAGTCTCCTCAAGACCAAAATGCAAATCATCACAATTCAGAGGATCTCATCTGTGCCTTAAACAGACAGAGCTGCCAAATGCTACAGGGCTACATAGAACCTACTGAAGAGATCTGCAAAAGGCTACACAACAACCCATAGGGATAGGACACATTCTCCTCTCAGCTCTAGGAATTCTCTCTAAAGGGACAGATTGGGGGGGCTAAGTTTACATCCATGACACAAATTTCTCTCTGGAGGGTCTCAAAAGAGTCTGAATAAAGACTTTGGAAATGTACCTGAGTCTACAGGCCATCATCTCTGGATCCCTCAGTTCCCCATTGCTCCTAGTGTCTATGAAACCAAAGTCAAGTTTCAGCTCTATCATATCCATAGGGTGAACAACCACAGTCAACTTATTTCAACAGCTACTGAACAATCTGGTTCTGGGAAAATTTTGATTAACTGGCTGCTAAGGACCACCAAATATGTTCTGATGACCACCACATAAATACTTCATCTTATTTTATTTTTTGGTTTTTTCAAGACAGCATTTCTCTGTATTGCTTTGAAGGTTGTCCAGGAACTGGCTCTGTAGACCAGGCTGGCCTCAAAATCACAAGAGATCCACCTGCCTCTGCTTCCTAAGTGCTGGAAGTAAAGGTGTGCTCCACCACAGCCCAGCTTTTCATCTTAATTTTAAAATTACTGAATAAGAAATAATACAAAAAGACAGGCGTTGGTGGCACACACCTTTAATCACAGCACTCAGGAGGCAGAGGCAGGTGGAACTCTGTGAGTTTGAGGCCAGCCTGGTCTCCAGAGGGATAGGCTCCAAAGCTACACAGAGAAACACTGTCTCGAAAAAAAAAAAGAAAGAAAGAAAGAAAGAAAGACCTTACAAAATTGCCTCTCCTAATTCCTTTTAACTACAAGATTTATCCAAATCCTTCCTGCTACTTGATGTTATGCTGATACAACTGGGACTTCTGGCTGTGGGGATTTTCCAGGATGGCCCCTACTTTAAGAACTCACTTTCAGAAAAATCACCTTCAAGTTTTGGGGGTTTTTTAATGAATTAAAAAGGGCAGCAAGACAGCTCAGCAGGTAAAGGTGCTTGTTGCCAAGTCCAGTGACCCGAATTTGGTCTCCAGGACCCTCCTGGTTGAAAGAGAAAACTGATCTCACAAGCACACTGTGGTGTAGAGTGCACACACACTTGAGCACACCCATGCACACACACACACACAAAGTACATAAATGATTAAAAAAAGAACTAGCAAGGATGCAACTGGGAAATAAAAATATGATCAAAATATACATGTATACAATGTGTGGAAATGTCACAATAAAACCCACCACTTTGTACAATTAATATATGCTAATAAAATGTGGATTTATCCCTTAAAACAATAATAAGTCTAGATTAAGAAGTATGCATAGAGTACCTGCTAGACACAGAATCAGAGTATAAACATTATATTCTCACATCTATGCGGCTTGAGCCTGGACAAATCACCTCATTGCCACAAACCTCAGTTTTCTCATCTACAACCTAGAAATGATGGTAGTACACAGAGAAAGCAAAACACAGAACAGGCAAAATCCTGGCAGGAAGGCAAAAAGCTCTACATCCTTCCCCAGCACTTCCAGATCCTCTCCAAAAACGGACACAGGACCTGTGAGCACAGACAACCATCAAGTTCAGCAGCTCGACAGCATGGGAAATTTGACTTTTACTCGAATGTCTGGACTGGTGTCCATCCAAGATCATTCTACAGAGGTCCATGAAGAAGCATGTGTATGTCCCAAAGAAAATAAGAACAGACAGTTGTTAAATAATGAAGCCACCTCCTGAGGAAGCTAATTTAAGGATTTCTTCATTATCAAATGGACATACTCAGTGACCCAAAACCAAAATAGTACTAGCTTCCTCATCAAGCACTTCCTCTAGGTCACTTATATCCTGAGCTAGATGGGTATTTTAAAAGGAGTTAAGAAACAGACTGATCACCACACCCTTCTTCCTGTTTTCTTTGTTATTTTTTTCATTTTGTTTTGTTTTGTTTATCGAAACAGGGTCTCGCTCTGTAATCCAGGCTGGTTGGAAATTTAGTATGCAGGCAAGGCTAGCCTCAAACTCACAGCAGTTCCCTTACCTTAGCCTTCTGAGTGATGGGAGTTAAGTGTGAGTCACCATGGCCTCAGTTTTTTGTTTTGTTTTGTTTTGTGTTTTGAGGCAAGGTCTTTCTAGGAAGTTTTGGCTGTCATGTAATCCCCTGATAGACCAGGCTGGCCTCAAACTCACAGAGATCTGCTTACCTCTGCCTTCTGAGTGCTGGGATTAAAGGTATATACCACCATGCTCATTTTAGGGCAATAGCTTTTCTGTTTGTTTGTTTGTTTGTTTGTTTTTTCGAGACAGGGTTTCTCTGTGTAGCTTTGGAGCCTGTCCTGGCACTTGCTCTGTAGACCAGGCTGGCCTCGAACTCACAGAGCTCTGCCTGCCTCTGCCTCCCGAGTGCTGGGATTAAAGGTGTACACCACCAATGCCCGGCCGGCAATAGCTTTTTAAAATCTGACATTATCTGACATTTTTGAGGACTAATTCCAACAGTATTAAAAATGGAAATGCTAAATGACACATCTACCCCAGGTTAATTCTGTCCCTGTAAAATAACTCTTGCTTCTTGAGTCATAAGGAAATATCAGCTATTTCATTCTCATGATGGGCTTGGTTGACTTGTCAGCCCATCACTTGAGCTATAACAAAGCAATTTAGGATCTGTAGTCTTGTTACTGAATGTTCTTAAACCACAGCAGCAAGTGATGTGGCAGATGTCTTTGAAACCACTTGTAGAGCAAATGGAACTCACCCCTTCCCAAGTGTCTACAGATAAGGGCTTGGGCCAGCATCATCTGTCCACAGCGCAGCATACATCCCCAGCCAGCATCAGATGAAGGGCCTGTTCCCCCTGTCGGCAAAATGGATGGGCATGAAAATGTGTCCCTAAAATTAATCTTTCCTCAATCATTAGCATATTTGAAACTACAAGCACACATACATATACATAAACTATGAAAAGAGAGACAATAAATGTACTTAGAGCTCATACAGGGTTGAATATGGGAGTGGAACTTGTAAAGGCAAAGAAGAATCAATGGAAACATTCTACTGTCAACAACAAACACATGAATTAAACATGCCCCTTGGGTTTCTTGCTTGAAGACTTCAGAGCATGCATACCCTTTTTTGGTAAGTGACTTTCATGAGTAACTATCAACAAGGAGATTGCCGTGACTAAAACACAAATACTACCACAAGGGTAGACATCAAAATGATCAAAGACATATAAAAGGTCCTTGACTATTCTAAATGTACCTAATGAAGTTTACAAAAAATAGATGAAAGAACTCTAGATTAGGCAGAAAACTAACACCTAATTATACAAGCCAAGTCTCATCCATACATTGAGGATAATAGCACTTACTCTGCCAGTAAGTAGGCATGATAAAAATTACATGAGAAAATATTTAACAGCTCTAGAACCTACATAGAATGCTTGGTATTGTGAGTATAGTTTTATGTAAAATGCTATTAATAAGTTAGAAATGTATTACATCTTTAAAATATACAAAGACAATGCGTTCCATTTTAAGAAGATTTGATGTAAAGTAAAAAGTCACACATGTGGCCAGGATGAGATCTACTAGGGTCCTATTCAAAAGGACCAACATAATCAGATAACTTGATTTTCTTTTCCAACTCAGAAGTAGAAAAGTATTATGGAGGTATGATCTCAGAAGTCTAGTTTTGAAGAAGTGATCACTCTTGTAAAACAAGTGGGCCAAGTCACTCTCCCTCATCCCAACCCCTTTGTTGTAGAGACTGAAGGAGCATTTCTACATCAAGACTAAGGGGAGGGAATCGATTTCTGAGCTGGAAGGAGAGCCCTCAGGCTCTTGCTAATGCTGGGATTAAGGTTAGATTAGTGCAGAAAGGGTAGGGTGAGGCCCACACACAAACAGATCAATTTTTTTCAAACACTATGAGAGTTGACTAAAACCTTACCCAGCTTTGTAAAGGTCTCTTCCCAGGCAAACACTAACAGTTTAGAACACTGGGATACTAAAGATTATTCTTTTCTGTTACTACTGCTTGAAAAGCAAAGAAAATGTTTGTGTGGACTTCAGTTTTGGCCCATCACATAAAGGTTCATTTCACTCCAATTACTAGGTCCAACCTTGGTCAGACAAGTTTCTTTTTAGGAAAGTAACTTCCGCCTCCTACAGACTCTTTTCTTATCTTTCCATGACACTAGGGAGTGACCACACTGCTCAGAAACATTTTACAAATCTTCTCAGATGGAGCAAATTCTCTTAACTTATCCAACTATCCTTTTCTTTTCACCTAGATGGCAGCTGGGAACAGACTAGGCTAAATTCTAAAGAAATCTATCTTAATTTATCTCTGAATGTCAAAATGCTTTCATTTCATGAGAAAATAATAGAAGGAATTATTTTCTTTCCTTTAATAGTCAAATAGTACCATATAGCAGTGAAAGGCTATTTGATAGCTAGATATTACCCAACTAAAGCTTATTTGATTTTTTAATACCATCCGTTGCATGAACACTTGAAGGTGGGTTAAAATTACTACTGGTTTAACGCTACAACACCATAGAACCACACGTGATGGGCTACTTCCACAATGACATTTTTGGATGAAATGTTAAACTTACCTGCTCCCCTAAATCAAATTCTTTGCCACAGTGAGCTGTTAATTCTGAGGTTTCTGTGATGTCATTGATAACCTCAGGCAAGCTATCTACAAGGAAGAAAGCACAGCACAACAAATAATATACCTACCAATCGGTGAAAATTTCCTTCTGTATGTAAACCATAGACGAGCACTTATATCAGACAACAGCTTAGATTTTTCTGTAATTAAATGTGAAATTAAAATTAAATCACCATATCCCATCTAAAAAAAGATGCCTACATTTGACTTCTATGCCAGTAGCAAGCTTATTTTCAGATAGCCAATCAAATTGACTGTTACAGAACTAGGGAAATTCACAGGAAACTTAATCTTATTTGAGCCTAATAATTCCAGAACTTCTCTTTACCTTCATTTTCACCAGAGCTACTCTACAGGTTCTTCTAATGATATTAGATACATCCTGTCTCCTCAATGATTTTCAGGATCCCGACAGGTATTATCATGGCAGTCATGCCCAAATACCAAGAAATAGGAAAAGAAAGTATCTTAAATAATTCACTAAGACAAGACAATCATCTCCAGCCTGAATGAAGATAGTATTGGTTCCCATCATCTATTATCTAAAACTAGGAGTTCCTATGTGTGGAGGAGATTAATGTGCAGCAGGGGTGTAAGCACATACATTTAACTAAAAATGAATGCTCCTGCTAACTGTGGAAGAACTTTATCCATGGTACCTAGTGTCCTATTTTCATGTAAGTGAATGTATAATATCATAAATATCTTATATAACTTTTCAAAGCATTTTTTTGAATTCTATGATGCAAACTCCTTTTAATCACTACAATTATGGCTTCTTCATTTCCCTCCATACTTGGATATGGTTTGGTCTTCTCCAGTCATCTCTCTCCTCATGTGTATTCAGTATAGAATCTCTAGTCATTGTGTTTTCAAAAGCAAAAGGAAATTAAACCTTTATCGATAGTTTCTAATTCCATCTCTTTGAGCAAATCAATAGAGCTGTATGTATTTTCTTTTATTTTGTTGTCCCCAGTGCCTAGACCCCATTTTGGGAGATGTGTAAGAGTAAAAGTTCTTAGGCCTTGAAAAATGGCTCAGTGGTTATGAGCACTGTCTTCTCTTCCAGGGGACCTGGGTTCAATTTCCAGCACCCACATGGTAGCTTATAACCATCTGTATTCCAGGGCACCTAATGCCACCTTCTGGCCTCCTGGTGTACAGACATGAATGTAAGCAAAATACACAGCCATATAAACTGAATAAATAAACTTTGAAAGAAGAAAGAGTTCTCTTTTCTTGTCTTTTTAAGCACCACCCCCAAGAGGGTCTCATGTTCCCTAAAATGGCTTCAAGATTGCTAAGGATGATGTTAAATTTCAGATTCTTCTGTCTCTATCTTTCTAGTGCTGAGCTAACAGGCATGGCCATCAGTCCCAATTTATGGGTTCCTGGGGGGTTAAATCCAACACTTGGCCCATGCTAGGTATTCTACCAACTGAGCTGCAGCCCCAGCCCAAGAGTGTGATAGCACATTCTTATAATCCTAGTACTCAAGAGCCCAAGGCAGAAGAATTGAAAAATCAACGCCAGCCTGGGCTACATACTGAAACCTTGTAGCAGGGGTGGGACTTAACTTGGGTCTGCTACTTACTGTATATATAAATGTAATACTCATTTTTTCTGAGCTCTTTTTCCCCTCATCTGTAAAATGAGGAGCAGCAATATCTACTTCATTGAGGAGATGTGAGTATTCAACAAGATAATTGGCATAAAGTCAAAATATAAATATACATACATAGAAATTTATAAAGCACTTAGTTAATATCTAGTATACAGTAAGTTTATGCCAAACTTGTTAATATGTCTGACCCCTTAAATGTTCACATAGGTCACTCTTGCATCTTCAGGCTTTATACCTTACAGCATGGCTAGAGGAATTCAACAAACAAAAATTCATTTTGAAAGGCATTTCCCAGCTAGACATAGTGTCCAATGCCTAGTGAGATCTAGCGTTCCAGGTAAGCTTGAACTATAGAGTAAAACACCTTCTCAAAAAAAGAGGGGAGGGAAGACATTTGCAAACTTAGTACATGAATATGGGCATATGTGGCGCCTTAGATTTTCCTGTTATTTGAAAAGTAGAATAGAAAAAGTCCTCCTCAACCCTGCAAGTTCTGGAGAAGGAAGACAACGTTCAGAAAGAGAAAGCCCCTTTCCAGTGTTAGAATTAAACAAAGTCTCCCTAATGGGTGCATTGAGTCTCAGCCTTCCTAATGCTATGAACCTTTAATACAGTTCCTCATGTTGTGGTGATCCCCACCTATAAAACCATTTCATTGCTACTTCATAACTGTAATTTTTCTAGTTATGAATCATAATATAAATATCTGATATTCAGGATATCTGATATGTGACCCCTGTGAAAAGATCATTTGTCCTACAAAAGGGTCACAACCCACAGGTTGAGAACCAGTGGGTCAGTGTTAAACAGTCTCCCTAATAGCTAGCTTCATGATCTGTCCACTGTTCACAATTCTCCAATAAAATACAGAAAGGCCTAACTACTCCTCCTGCCCTTTGATCAGCTTCCTCCTATCCCTTACTCTATGTTAAGAGATTCTGTAGATCTCTTCTTGGGCAGTAACACATCCCAGAGGTGCCTCATTCCCTGTTCAGGCTTGATGCACATGTGGAGTCCTTAGAGGTTTTAGAGCAGCAGGTCTTTTCTACTCTTTAAGAATGCTGTGGTAAATGGGAAAATTTGAGCCTCCTTTCCATCTACTGCAAGTAACTACAAGTTCTATACAAAACCAAAATCAGCTAGGACAGTGCAGTCACTACAAGACGATTTGAAACAGAAGACTTCTTGTATCTGCTATTGTTTCTGAAAGTCATAGCTTACGGAGAAGTCCCTGGGTGTTTTGTCTAGAAGCACAAAGACATGATAAGTGTAAGAAATATACAGCCCAAAGACTAGATATTGGTTAGTAATACTATGAATGATGTTTTTTTTGAATCCCAAGTCTTCTGGAATGGGAGCAAGACTTCTTTACAGAAAAGAATAAAAATATATTACTTTTGCAAAACATGCATAAATTTAAAAAAAATCCTGTATCATGTACATGCCTGGCCAAGGCCTCTCAGGGCCTTGTAAGGAACTGTGCAACAAGCAAGATAATCTGTCTTAAAGTAATGTTAGCCCTTATCAAGACAAAGTTTTGTCAACCCAAGAAGGAAAATGAGAAGCCCTTAATCTCAGGCACCCAATTCAACTGGGGCCTCCATGACCAGTGCTGCCAAGCTTACCTGTTCTAAGAAGATGCTGCTTCCCCAAGATCCATACCAGCTCATCTGTATCCGGGAATTCTTCTAGGTAGTCAGTGAAAATAGTAATCTGGTTCTCATACTTGGACATAACTAAAGGAAAATGAAGGAGAGTAAACATACTGTGATTTTCTGATTTCTACCTTTGCCCTGAAAGTAGGTCATCAGCTTGACTCGAAAGGAAGATTTCAATATTTAAATAAGTGGGTATGCAACAAGCACTTTACTGAGCCACCTCCCTAGCCCTTCATATTTCTTTTGAACTACTTTTCATGGTTCCATTTAAAATGATGTCTGAAAAGCTACATGCCCAGAATTAATTTAAAACTCTTTCCTTTCACAGACCTCTTTCATAAACATCCACTTATCTAGATTCTCCCCGCAAAAAGTAGGCCAAAGTAAGACAGCAAAGCTCGTGTACTTAGCTCCTGTCTGTTCACAGGTAATGCTAAGAAGTGTATGTGGTCAGGTTGCTAGCAGCCAAGGCCTTGGAGGAGGCTGGGACAAGCCTGGAGAGTGTACAATTGTCAGGATGATAACATTGTAGCTACAAGATTTGATTTTTTTTTTTTTTTTGGGGTTTTGGAGCAAGGGTTTCTCTGTGGCTTTGAAGGTGGTCCTGGAACTAGCTCTCGTAGACCCGGCTGGTCTCAAACTCACAGAGATCCACCTGCCTCTGCCTCCCGAGTGCTGGGATTAAAGGTGTGCGCCACCAATGCCTGGCTAAGAGTTGATATTTTTACAGTGCTTTTATTTTCCATCTTCCCCACATATGGCTCCTACAAAGAAGGCTCTTGAGGCTAATCATAAATAGAATTTGTTCTTGAGATTCACTATTGTGATGTTGTGATATAAAAAGAATTATGTATTTGCTGCCCATCCCCGTTTTCTGGCACACAGCTCTGAAAATCCCTGTCATTTCCTGAGCACTAGGATGTCAGATTCATCTCTTTCTTTCTTTCTTTCTTTCTTTCTTTCTTTCTTTCTTCTTTTCTTTTTCCTTTTCTCTTTTTTTTGTTCCAGTATTTGATCTTCATCCCTAGTTCCAGACACAGAGTTCCTAATCTCTTGGGATTTCATGAGTGATAAGAGTGTCTTCAGTTCCAGTAAGGCCATTCTTGGTGAGCTCTCTGACGGGTCTAGTCACCTGCAAGGCTAAGCAGTAATTAAAAGCCTGGAAGCTTCATTCCAACCCCCGCCCTGCAGGAAGGGGAGAGAGGCTAGAGATTGAATCAAAAATAGCTCATGCCTACATGATGAAGCTTCCATAAAAAATTCCTAAGCCGAGGTTTCTGCAGTTCTGGGTGTGGTAAACACATAGTCGTGCCTGCAGAGGAAATTGAGGCTTCTTGCCTCTCCCACTTCCCATAGGCATTTTTTGTTTGGCTGTTTATCTGCATCCCTTGCAATGTTTCGGGATTTTATTTTATAATAAATGAGTAAATGTCAGAGAGCACTTCCCTGAGCTCTGTGAGCAATCCTTGCAAATGGTTAAGCCACAAGTGGGGAGGGATGCGGGACAGTGGTCATAGGAACTTCACTTTATAGCCAGTTAGTAGAAAGAAGAGGTCACAAGTGGTATCTCCAGTATGGGCAATCTTGTGAGACTAAAAATCTTAACCTGGAGGATCGTACCCTAACCCCAGGTGGACGGACACTGTAAAATTAATGAAATCCTCGGAGACACAGTTGGTGTTTGCTAAGGAACTGGTATGTTGAAAACCCACCCCCTCTAGACACATATGCTTTCAGAGGTGCTGAGTGGTAAATGTGAGTAGCAAAAAGCCAGTTTTCCTGTTACATGCATCTATAGTTATCTCTTAAGATAAAGCAACCATGTGAAATCAAGGTAAATCCCATTAGTTCTCAGGCTCTGCTCTCAGAACTTACATCTCTATGATCTGAGAGGTATTCAAATTCACATTCACTTCTAGGGGTGGGGCAGACAGGTCTGCTAAAAGATTCAAGACTGACTTGTGTAGAGGTCCTGCCTCCAAATTGTTTCTAAGTAACCTTCTTCTGAGGCAATAATAATCATATGGGTAGTAAACAGGTTTCTAAGCCAGCGTGTCAAAATCTGTTTAAATCTCTAACTGGAAAAAATTAATTGATAGCTCTATTTCACAATTTATGATTCTATTTGCATGAGAAAATGCACTGTGAGTTCAAAACAAAAGCATCCAGTACATCCCATCTCAAAGCTCCCTAGCCCCTCTCCAAAAGGAAGCTAAGAGAGAATAGGGACCCTTTTGTTCAGCTATGAGTAGCAACAAGGGCCCTCCCAAAGCAGTCCCTAAGCTTCCCATGGGTGTATTTTCAAGTGTAAGCGGCATTGTGGGATATGTTTAAGTCACTTGAAAAGCCAGATTGTTTGTATTTTGTTTTCTAAATCCGAACTGTGTGGTCTTCATAGAAATAAAAGCTCTTAACTGTAAAGGAGACCTTGCCAAGAATGGAGGCAGGTGTCTCTACTCAAACGATTTTGTCGGGGGATGAAGTCACAATCCATGGAAACACGTTCAGAAACACGGCTCAGTAGACTTTCTTGAAACATATTACAGAATTCTCATCTTTCAGGAATGTAAGTAGCCTTTCTTCTTGGTTTGTTTTCGTTACTAAGATTACGGTCACTGCAGTGTTTCAAACCTAAAGAAGTTTTAAAGAAGTTAGCCCTGAGACGCTATCTCATTCCCCAGAGAACACCCTGCCAGAGAACCTGTGCCCTCTTAACCTCTCTGCCTTTGGCCTCAGGCCCTGGCCCACACACAGGAAATACCAGGCTAAAAATGATCATTCAGGTCAAGCCCTTCCCAGGGGGTGGTGGGTGACAGAGGCAGGGTAAGTCACATGGTGTACATCTCCACCCAACCCTCACAGGCAGGAGAAACCAGGTGGAAACGAATACCCAGTGCTCTTCTACAGAAAGAAAAGATGATTTTTTTAAAGTAGCTTGAGAGGAGCATGGGAAAATGACGACCTCTCAGGCATACTTGTAAGAGTGAGGACAGGTGACAATGTATCAATGTACAGCATGCATGCAGAGAAACCTTCGATCTGTTTTTGGTATGGCCTGAGGGAAATGATTTCTCTATTGCCAACTCTGCCACTGTGAGTCATCGGCCAGCTATCTGGTCAGTTTAGTACAGCCCTTTAAAGTCTGTGACAACTGCCCTGCTTCATTTAGGATGGCTCTGAATAAAATGGTAGCCAAAGAATTTGACTCTGGCTCTTCACCCATTCTCAAGTTGTGCTAGGCCTGCAAGAAGGTCATTATAGCTTCTATTTGAATCCTTTCTCCTCTTATAAGACAGACTCTCGGAATGCAGTGCCTCTGTCCTCAGGAAGTCTTGAGTCAAGGCTGCACATATAGAACAAACAGAAAATGAGTTTAGCATAAATGGCATGAATGGCCCAGGGTCTCTATCTATAAGTGCACCTGGGAAAGGAAAACTAGGACCAACACCAAAACTCAGAAGACAAAACCACCTGAGAAAGCTTGAGGTACTGAGGAAAAAAAAATCTCATTTCTAACACAATTACTTGGGACTACCAGCTCTTCTCATGCCACAAATTCCATTTGGCTAGGCCTTCATGTTTAACAAACAAGACACCAAGCTTATAAAGCCCTGTTCTTTCAGGCTATTTAAAGGAGAGGATACACTTATGCTGTTTGGTTGACCAAAATTAACTGCTACTACGCCTAAGGAAAAATAAACTCCACCCTGTTATTGTAATTATTGTAATGACGTCTCTACCAGATTAGCTTAATGATTAAGCCATGATTTCCTTTAACTCCGGTAACCAAAATGCCTCCCATCCTTGACCAAGGAGATCTATACATACGTTAGGGCATGTCTTCACCACCAACCCAGCCAGGAGATCTCACTATCTTCCCTTTTCTGCTTGTGTAAAGCTCCAGAATGAGAATTTACAGCCTATACAAATGTGTCCTGAATATGCATGCACACAGCCTTGGAAATGCAACAGCCCTGTGTATACATGTGTTTTTGAGATTCTCAGAACTATCTCAAGCTTAGACCTCTGTTTCTCCTTGGAAGCATTCTGTTTAGTTAGCTGGAAAAGTTATCTACTCTTTCCAGCAACTGAGAAGTTAATTGTATCTAATGGTTTATAAAACAACACCCTGGGTAGAAGGCTTTCTGCAACCCAGAGTCGAGGTCAAGTAAATAAGACTTACAAGTGGGGCTTTCCAAGTAATGACTAGACAGAGGACATGGGATAGTTCTTTAGAACTGAAACTGCAGAGGGGTCATAGTGGCTGGGGGAAAGCCACAGTTTTGTTGGCTGCCACAAGGCCAAAGATGGGGCCAGACAAGAAAAACTACCACAAAACTCTTCTTCCCAACACGTTACTGGTTTTCTTGGCTCTATGGCCCCTGAATTGGTGCAAATCTTTTCATTTCCAGCATTCTGAATAAATGGACACTGACATGTGCTGCCTGGTTTTTTAAAATGTTTTTTGTTTGGTTGGTTTTTGGTTTTTGTATTTTCCATTGCCATTAAGGAGAGAATTTTCAGAGGCCCTGGCTCTGCCATTTTTGCTGATGTATACTTTATTCAGGGAATGACTGTATTTTCTCAGGGTTGTTCTGGAAAATTGCAAGTAAATGAAAAAAGAAGATTGCCTTGAAAAAACAAGATGCTTTTGCTACAGTTTAACAAAGACACTTACAAAACAAGACTCCAAGATACTGTGAACCTTGTGCTAAAGAAAGAAATGCCACAAGCTTTCCAAGGTGGAGTTAGAAGGCCATAGAATCTCAGGGCCAGCATGAATTTGTGATAGAGGTTAACTCCTTGTAGGTTCCCCTTTCTAAATACAAGCAAGGACTGCTGGTTCCAAATCAGCCTCCTCAGCAATAATGCTTATTTAACATACTGAATACATGCATATTTAACATACTGGTAGGTCACATCTTCAAAATCAAAACACTCACAGGAGAAAACACACACACCTGAATAGTTCATTCATCCATAGTTCATTCCATAAACTTCATAGGGTACCTACTATGTGTTTGGCATAAAGAAAAAACAATCAGTGAAATACAGTATTAGTCCTTCAAAGGTTTTTAATCTACAAGGGAAGATGGTTCTGGAATCAGATAATAGCAGAATGTAGAACATATTAAGGAGAATAGGGTAGAAGGTGACCAAAAGAAAGGACACAAGCCCAACTAGAGTGTAAACAGACCATTTCAAATTTAAGAAGTACAAATGTAGCACTTACAAAAACTGGTAAGCTGGGGCTATATGATCACATGGGCATATTAAAAGCATATCAGAAAAAACAGGCCCAAGAACTTACCAAACTCACCAGACAGGGAACAGGTACAACACCTGCACCTAGACCCTGAAGGACAACTTGCACTACAATGACAACAATCCCTACTAACACAGACCATCTAATTATCTGGTATGTTTGTCAGGGGACTAGCAGGTATGCATGACTGTCCCCAGGGCTTCAGCTCAGCTTGGTCCTTACAGCTACTCAAATTGTTCTCCATAAGTCTGTTAGTCCATCTAGACCTGGCCCTAGACCTTGCCTCTACAGGTTCCACTCAGTCCAGCTGCAACCCCTGCAGCTCAACCCGGCAGCCCTACAACTCAGCTTTAGCAGCTCTCCAACAGGGTACCAGACCTGACCACTTGAAAGGATGCTCTTTGATTCTGCCCTGAATCTCTCTCTACCGGTCTCTAGTGAGGCCTTTTTGAACCCTTTGAACTCTGTGACAGCCTTTTCAACCCTTCTGTAGCTATTCTATAACCTTCATACATAAAAATAGAATCACTGCTTATTGTAAATGTATGATGAGATTTAATATTAGTAATGAAGACTGTAATAAAACCAGGGCTACTTGGCAAACTGTAGCCAGCAGGCTACCAGTATAACTTAGGAATTTGTTGTTCACTAAATTCTGATTTTGTTGAAAGACATAAACACATGCATCTGTTTCTCATATAGCACACTCGCAACAATGGCAATAAGATAGAAGCTGTAATGGGGAAGGGAGGAACTTCCTGGTTGAGGAAACACTGAATGGACTTGGCAAGCAACTCAGTGTAGGGTGGAGTAGGTGAAATTGAGAGACTAAAACATAACTTGTAGTTTTCAAGTGTGGGTGATGAGATGTTGACAGAAAACTATAGTGGTGGGTGGGTGGCCAATAAGCTTGGAAAAACCAGAACAGTGGTGACTTGTAGGCATGGGTGCCAGATTTAAAAAGAAAAGGAGAAGCCCACCTACAAAGGAATTTTCAAAAGAAGCACAGTAGATGGGAGGTTAATTAAAAAGGCCTAGAAGTCAGAAGAAAAATCCAGAACACCAAAAGTCTGGCACACTGTAGAATGCGCCTTCATTTCCTTCTGCTTAGGTTTATTTATTGCTCTGGTCTCTCCCAGTCTCTGCTGACCTCGGCACAAGTCCAGTCCCCTCTTCACTCATTTCCTTCCCTGTGCCTGATTCTTCTAACAATCAAGAACTTAGGAATTTTTAAACTGAGCAATGGCGAGTGTTGCTCTGACCATACCACCAACCGTCTTTGCTGATAAAAGGGCAGCACACTGGATACATGGATGCAGAAAAATATTTAGTGGCCATATGATGTAAGACTTGAGGCCCCTCTTCTACCATGGAGGTGAGACCTTGATTCTTAATGCTTTCTTGCCCTTAATCCAGCCACGAAGTCACTGTCACATGGAATGGGTTAAAAGTATCCTCCCTCCACACTATTATACGAGTGACACTGGACCATAGAAGTCAAACTACACTAAGGCAGCAGTAACCCTCCAATACCGAGCTCATGACTCATGCAGAAACCATGAAACTGACACTATCCAGTCACATAGCATGTTAATAGGTTTCCTGATTCTCATCTCTGATTCTCTGTGATTTTCCATACCTGGCATGGTAAAGAGAAGAAAGCTCTGTTGGAAATGGTTCTAGGCTAGTACCAGCCTCACTCTGTCATTTAGCTTAACCTGTGACCTTGGAGGACCAACTTTACTTCTTTGGACCTCAGATTCTACTTTAAAATCTATGATGTATTTTTTAAAACCTCAGGCCATAATTCATCAAGGGCCATGAAATCTACATAGTGTGCTGTAGTCAGTGAACATGGCCATTCCCTGACAAGGACTACTTAGATCCTTGGACCTCAATTTAAACTTTGATCTCATGTTCAGGTTCCCAAAGACAGACTTGTGTGTTTGTTGAATGTCTTTTTCCCTCTTCCCAGTGTGGCCACATTGAATAAATCTCCTTTTCCTGTTTTCCACTTAAAAGATAAATAAACAAAATTGAGAGTTGGAGAAGTAGCTCAGTGGGTAAAAGCAATAAAATTTGTGTCTCTAGCACTCATAACAACAAGAAATAAAGCAAGGCATGGTCTTGCTTGTCTGCAATCTCAGTGTTGGGCTATGGTAGGTGGGGGTGCATTGTGGAGAGATAGGCAAATCCCAGGAGCTCACTGGCCAGCCAGCCTAGCCAAAAGAATAAAGTTCAAGTTAAATGAAAGACCCTGTCTCAAGAGAATAAGGCAGACGGCAATAGAGGGAGCCACTAAACATCCTCTTTACCTCTATATGCACATACACACACAAACATATGACATACATGCCCCCCCACA